TGTCACGTGTCGGAGCTGGCATCCCTCAAGCAACCCGCTGAAGAGCTAGTGAGATCACTCGGTTCAGCCACAGCCATACCATGATGTTCGACACCACAGGCTTCCCACCTCACAGCCTGGTCTCCGAACAGTATGGACAATGAAGAGCGTATTGAATTCTCATCCGCTCGGATCCCAAGGGCTTGGTGCTTAGACTAGATCTCAGGCCTAGCAGAGCCGCAAGCTTTATTGAGTTAATATCATAAAGAGTTGATATCAGAACAAATCTAGTATATCCCTGTAGATTTGTGATTCTCGAAACAGCTCGTTAAGGAAATTCAGTTCATGATTAAAGTCGTTTTAAGATTATTATAAGTTCTTAATTGAAAAGGAAACGCTTTTCTGTTTTGAGTATCTACTTCATACGACACTATTTCTTGTGAGAGCTATTGTGAAAAGTAACAAATGCCTTGTTTTTGCTTTATTAGCTGAGATTGAGCTGTTTAGGAGACGAAAATCCTCCAGTTTAGCTGGAATCTCTAGCAAAAAATTGATTTGCAACTAGTAAATGTTGCTTCCATAAACTAATAGCGCATTGCGTTTGGAAAAATAAAAGTTTAGAATAGTTTGTAGGAATTCTTAAAATATTTACCTCTTGATTTTGATTCAAACTGATTAGCTAAATGCATGTTAATTTAAGCTGATTTCGTTGCTATGCAATGTGATGTATTCCGAACTGCTTACTTTACAAATGAGTGCTTGGAAATTACGTCTTTATCATGACTTTGGATCATATACCCCATTGTCTGCATGAACTGAAGCGTAGCAACTTTGTAGTTTTGACTTTTACAGTTTGCTCTTGTAGAATATCATTTTGCTGTCAATTCTTTTCAGCTTGAATGTTTTTCTCTAGTACCATAGTGAGAAGTAATGTTAAGCATTCAATATGTGTAAGATAGGTAGAAAGTGTAGTAAATGTTGTGAAATCATATGTATAATCAAGAATGTTGGCTGGCCGTTGGCCAGCAGTCGTCTAAGTTTAGCGAAGCCTACTGGGGGCTACCTGTAAGCCAATATTTTATTGAGTGTTTTTTTTTGCTACGAATTAGATATGATTAGCGAATTTCGTAAGAAGAAGCCGCAAGGGTTGAAATTCAGTTGCGCTGGTTTTAGTAATCGAAACATACAGTTTGCGTTACATTAATTACATAATTATTGTAAATTAGTAATATTTTAATACAAAAAGCCTTGAGGGGCTTTTAAATTTTTCTTGTAACCATGTACCTTAATCATGTAGTCAAATTGAGCGGGAAGATTTTATTAGGGATAACCGTGTACAATTAAAATTTCCATCAGCTCATAAAAGTAACCTTTTTTACGTTTTTATTCCAAATGCAGTTTAATCCAAATCAGTTAGCTAGCCAATCAAACAGGGGCTCAATGGATTATTAGTTGAAATACTTATTAGAAAGCCCTTCTTCCATGACCCCTGGTGCGGACTACCCATTATCCCTCAGAAACTTAAACTAAAGCCCCTAGAGAAACCCTAATTCAGGGCATTACTTTCTGTACTGCCGAAGGTGTCCTTGGGATGGAGATTTCACTGAGTAGTAATCAAAATGAATCAAATGTGATTACTCTCCCAAAAAGGTTTTAACAAAAGTTATGATAAAATGCAAAAAAATCGAAAAAAAAAATGCGTGAAAATGTGAAGTAAAATTCCAAGAAAAGCTCATGGATACACGCTTCGTTTAATAACAATTCAAGATTATTTTAGAAAAAATGTACTTGACAAAATTAGTATCCGAAAATCCCATAAAAATTCAAACATGGATAAAACGTAAGGCATTCAGCTTGAAAATTTCCCTTAAAAAAAAAAAGAAAGAAAAGAAAAACTTTAGATGCTTGCTGTGGCGACGTTTATTTTGCAGTCTTAGGAGCGTTCTATCTTACTGTGAAAAGGCGTAGGTGAACCTCTCACGCATGCGTGTATCGATCTTAGAAGTTCGAAAGAGATTTGTGTCCTGAGCCATGTGATAACGGTGTTAAACGGTTCGGTGTCCTTCTGAGCTATCTTATCTGCAAAACATCAACGAAGGAAACCCAAAATATAANTTTTTTAGAAATCTACCTCCTCTATTCAATATTACTTTACACCATGGCAATAGCCCTTGCACGATTGAAAACTTCTTTTGGCAAATCTTCATCAGTCAATCAATTTAATCTAGTAATAGACCGGCCTCTTAAGCTTGTACATTTTGTTTTCCAAATACTGAGTCTAACGTGCATTTTCCCATTTGTCTATTGTGAGCACACACATGCACAAGAAGAGAAAGTCGAACGGAAACAGGTCTCAAGAGTATTATCTCATAATCTGCATTGGGAAAGCAAATCATATTAGCTGAAGAGGTCTGTTATGTAAACATGTCAGTCTAAGCTAGCCGGTGAGGCAAACGTCCCTTTACCAGCAATGGACATAATAAAAATCCTGTATTCTACAATTTCAATTATAAAAAGCCTTTCTAAAACCTAGGAAAGTAATCGCAAATATTTACTAGAAATTAAGAATTACGAAGAATACAATTTTAACATTTGTGATAATCTACCAGCACACTTAACTCAATCGTACTCAGATTCATTTTTGAAAAATTCTAAGTGATTTTAGTTTAATGCATAAAGCGTCGAGCCACGTTTCTATGAAAATCCGAATTTTTCCCTTCTACTCAACATCTTAATAACGTATCAATAACTCGTAGATAAACGAGAAGAAACAAAAACATGGTCATTTCTTCGAAAATGGCACTCAAGTACGCAATCTAGAGGATATAATTGAACAAACGGTGTGGGTGTTCTGTTAAGTCTCGCCCTTCTTTGCCATTCAGTTGCAATCCATTTTAACCTTCTTTATCCTCAGCCATCCCTGTTCGTTCTTGGTTCATTATCTTTCCAATTTTTTTTTGCAGTCTTTCTTAAACTAAAGATCAAAAGTTTCGTGTGTCCCAAAAAAGATTCGACATATCGCGAATAGCTACACGATCGACAAAATTTTGACAAAAGAATGAATTACTAAGGCAAAGGTGGTCAGAACTTCGAAATTAATGAGATTTGATTTTCAAGTTCTAGAACAATAGACTTCATTTGAAAGCCAGGTTTGAAAGCTGCGGGTCATTCAAGAACCACTAGCGGTGGAAAGAAAATCGATCAAAGATAATTGATCGATATAGTTGGTTCTTGGTGACCGAAAGGTCAGTTTAAAAAAAGTTCATAACGTCCCTGAGAGTGGATAACATATGAACCGTGGGAAAAGGTAAAGTTATTTAAAATAATGAAATGATTAAGCTATGTTGCGTATCCCTTCCTCCTTAAACGGTTTACAAAAGGTATACGAAGATTGGTCTTACCCACTGTTTGAAATGCAGGCAAAAATATCTACTTTATGAAAGAATTTAAAAAACAAAGCTACTGAGCGCCTTAGGGCTTTTAAATGTTTACGAAGTATATACAGTATCGGCAAATAGCATTGCTGCTCGAAGCTAACCGAATTTTTTAGGAGACTATCGTGATATTTTTAAACTGCACAGCTTTTGGGGGGCATAGTTAATAGAGCGAACTGTGTTGGGGGTTATGTTTATTTGTAACTCTGAAAATAAAGGTCTGACTAACCATAATGTGGAGCGTTACATGATAAAGTCTAAATAATTAGTCGTTATCAGTTATTATATTTATTCCTGCTGAATTCGAAGACGCCAGAGGAAAACGGTGCTCAGAATGAGATGTTTTCTAGAGTTACCATTTCAGTTGTCTTCTGATTTCTTGCCAGGAATGATCGTCAACGATGTTAGCAGTTCAGAGACAAGAGCCTTCAGTAAGGCTTCGACGGTTGCATCAGACAACCTTCGAAGTTTAGCCGAACATGAAGCCGGATTTTTGAAAGTCAATGCCATTTAAATCCACACACTTTCCGTTAAATATTCTATTCAAACATGGCTTCAGTGAAAAACATCTCCCATAATTAACTTGGGTTTTCAGAGCCACTGCAAGCTAAAAACGATTCCTCATTACTTAAAAATCGTTGCCACCTCAGTTACAAACTTCGTATCTCCACGCCAATAACTTTGTGAGTTTCGACATACATCGAGTCACCATGCATACAATACAATAAATGGATGAAAACGCACTTCAATTGATTGTAAATTAATAATAATAATAATAATTTAATATTTATATTGCGCAAATTAACATGTCGATATGATCAAATGCGCATCACAACACTGTTCGGGGGACTTTGGCCAGACTGCATCAGCAGTTTACAAACAATCGAAGGAAACTTATTTGAAGATGCCCCC